AATATATCACTTCAAAATTGAAACAAGAAAACCATAAAAAAATAACGTGTCAATCCCACGAACTCTCTATCTTTGGCAACTGTCAATCTCACATTCTATTTAAACTACAACTCAAAAAGTGATCCATCATTCATTAATCTCCGTTTTGTTTTCATCAACATCTTCTCAAGTCAAAAATCCCTACCCCTCTTCCATTTATATTTCTTCAACATTTTACTCACATAACGGCGGATCTATCGTATAATGTCAATCACTATCACATCTTTTTCAATAGCCATCGACTGCTTTTTTTAGTCTTAACAATTGTAAGTTTTATCGAATTTAAAGTTTAAAAATTCTTTTAAGTTTTGTTTCCCCAACATTCGTTAGAAATTTGTATACGATTATAATATATTTTTTTTGTTTTCTTCTTCAGATTGTTCGGGACACAATTACTTTTTTGCCACAAATCGTTGCTCAAATACGATTATGTTATTTTCTATTTCTTATTTTTCTTTCCACATTAAGCCTTAGTTGAGGATTACGGTGTTTCATTCATGTTTTAATTTTTACAATATAAGGAAGGACCTTAATCTTTGTTGTCTCTTACGATTAAAAGCTTAGGAAAATCACATTTTAACTTTTTGGTTTGTAGAAATTTTTATGTTTTCTTGGAAACATGTCTTGAGTCTGTATAAGTGCAGATCAAAAGCGAGTAGAAACATGTATATATAACATGTGAATCAGAAGCTGGTTTAAAAGCTGGAGAAAGTTCTGGTGCAAAACGTGCCAAACCTAGAGAAGAAGAAGAAGCTTCTATTCAAAGCAGATATCGAAGTGACTAAAGCTGGAATAGAAGAGAAGGAGAACTCAAAGAACAATAATGAAGGTAGCTTGAACCAAACACTGGGAGAAGAGACAAAACCGATTCTCAATTGTGTATATGGAGATGATTTCGAATAACTTGGTATCACTTAAGTTAATAAAAGAGTGACTATTCAATTTCAAATATTAAACTTTGTCTCATCTCACTTTTTGTTTAAAAGATCCAATAACGAAACACTTCACATAGATTTTTTTTATCATTTTAAATAGTTCATCCTTGACATGTCTAATTAGATTGTATCCTAATTTTTTTTGATAAATATCTTATCATATAGTTATACTGCATTTTTAATGTAAATAAATTATTTCATACTGCATTTTTAATGTAAATAAATTATTTTCCCGTACGTAGTACGGGTGGACTATTAGTACTCAACTAGTCCACATGCAGTTTAATCCATCATAAAAATTAAATACGTAATTATATTTAAGGTACATCAATTACCTTTTCATTAAAATAATCTTATGTAAAATAAGAATTTCTGTAAATTATACAAGTCACTGAACATATCTTGGGTTCGATACCTTATCATGTAAGATACGTTTTTTATTTTATTTTTAACTAATATATAGGCCCTTTTGTTTGGTTGGGCTTGCGGCCCTTTATGTCACAGTAATTCTACTTTGATAATTAGCAAATATGAAATTTTATGATCGATATCAGAAAATGCAATTGAAAAATGGATAATGATTGATTAACATCAGAAAATTTCTTTCGATTAAAAGGAAAACATTGTGTCTCGCCGAAAGAA